CTATGTCGAATGGTAGAAAGCAGATAGTCAACAATCCCCTCCAGCCCACCTGCACATTCCCAACCCCAGCTCTCTCTGGTAGAACAACTCAGCTGGTTAAGCAGATGACGGAGTACAAATAAAATGCCCGCCTTCCCTTCCCGTAGACACCCCACTCTCTATGAATTATTCTCCTGGAGAATCCTTTGGAACTTTCCCATCACTTGGTTTTGGAATGGGGCAAGGAAGCACTGGGCTCCCCTCGAGGATGTTTCAGGACTCCTTGACTCTCTTCCTTTCCTTTTTCCAATCCCGTGCTTATTTGGACTGGAGAAGCAGTGTTGAGAAGGGGAATATTGACTATGGTAGGATCTTTTCTGTTCTGGATTACTGGGGTAAGGCCTTCACCTGGCTTCCCTTTAGAATGTGGTGTATTTAATCTCTGCTGTTTATATATCTAGGCCTGAGTGCCAAAATTTGAGCTATAGGGAAAAAGTTAGAATCTTAAATACATAAAAGCCAAGTCAGTCTGTTCGAAATGAGGATACTGTGGATGGTGGAGGAGGAAGGGTGGATGTTCCATGAACCTTGGGGTTTACCCTCCCTTAGCATATGAAGGTCAAAGAAAAAAATATAAAGAGGACGTATGAGAGCCATCAGACCTAGGAACAAAAGCAAAACAAAGAGGGATGGGAGAGTGAAGAATATAATCAATTAATAAGTGATTTGTTCAAAAGTAGGCACACAACGCCAAAGCAGCCGGTTCATTGCTTGGCAAGTAATTGAAATAACTGCCCTGCAGGGTTGTCTTTTTCTTTTTTTTTTTTTTTGAGATGGAGTCTTGCTGTGTCACCCAGGCTGGAGTGCAGTGGCCAGATCTCAGCTCACTGCAAGCTCCGCCTCCCGGGTTTACGCCATTCTCCTGCCTCAGCCTCCCAAGTAGCTGGGACTACAGGCACCTGCCACCTCGCCCGGCTAGTTTTTTGTATTTTTTAGTAGAGACGGGGTTTCACCGTGTTAGCCATGATGGTCTCTATCTCCTGACCTCGTGATCTGCCCATCTCGGCCTCCCAAAGTGCTGGGATTACAGGCTTGAGCCACTGCGCCTGGCCTCTTTCCTTTTTTTTTTTTTTAGATGGAGTCTTGCTCTGTCGCTCAGGCTGGAGTGCAGTGGTACCGTCTCAACTCACTGCAACTTCTGCCTCCCGGGTTCAAGCGATTCTCCTGCCTCAGCCTCCAGAGTAGCTGGGATTACAGGTGCATGCCATCATGCCCAGCAAATTTTTTTTTTTTTTTGAGACGAAGTCTCCCTCTGTCGCCAGGCCAGAGGGCAGTGGCACCATCTTGGCTCACTGCAACCTCCGCCTCCCGGCTTCAAGTGGTTCTCCTGCCTCAGCCTCCCAAGTAGCTGGGACTACGGGCTTACGCCACCATGGCCAGCTAATTTTTGTATTTTTAGTAGAGATGGGGTTTTTCACCATGTTGGCCAGGCCGATCTTGAACTCCTGACCTCAAGTGATCTACCCACCAAGGCCTCCCAAAGTGCTGGGATTATAGGCCTGAGCCACCGTGCCCAGCCCAGAGCTGTCTTAAAAGGGAATATGAAGGACAAAATATGGAAAACAGAAGCAAGATTTGGTATTGGGAGAAAATCAACACACAGAGGAAAACTAACAGAATACCTGAGCAATATTAATTATCTGCATAATCTTTTTTTTTTTTTTTGTAGACGGAGTCTCACTCGGTCGCCCAGGCTGGAGTGCAGTGGCGCGATCTCGGCTCACTGCAAGCTCCACCTCCCAGGTTCACGGCATTCTCCTGCCTCAGCCTCCCCAATAGCTGGGACTACAGGCGCCTGCCACCGCGCCCAGCTAATTTTTTGTATTTTTAGTAGAGACGGGGTTTCACCGTGTTGGCCAGGATGGTCTCGATCTCCTGACCTTGTGATCCGCCCGCCTGGGCCTCCCAAAGTGCTGGGATTACAGGCGTGAGCCACCGCGCCCCGCCATCTGCACAATCTTGATGCTAAATTGGCAACCACTTAACCTGCTCTCTAGAGCTGCCATGGATCTTGAATGCTATTTCTCCTAGAACTACCATGACATTTTCAGTTCCCTTGTAGCCTTGTGTTTCTTTGTAATAAAGCCCCACGATTTCAGGTTACTTGAGTGATTCTGTTCCTTGCAATCACAGAGCCTAGCAAAAGGAAAAAAAAAAAAGTAAGGCTGGTAATGCAGAAATGGGAATCAGCCTGATGAGTTCTCATGGAAGAAAAAGACCAAAGAGAGTTGATCACTGTTCTCATGTTTATTTCGGTAGTGCTAAAGTCCCCATACTTTGTCACCATGTCAGTGTCAAGGCTATTACTGTGATTGTTCGCTTTTCTATTCATGTATGTTATCAGACACTTGGGATAGAAAAATCATCTCAGTATGATTTGCAGATGTATCTACTTACATATTAAAATAATCTGTTCACCTTCTCTGGGGGTTAAAATGATTGTTTGAAAGTTTGGTTTACTTTTTAACCTGTGTTCATTTAGACATATCACTAGTTTTTCTCTCCTCAAACCACTTTACACCTAACCAGCACCAGGGTACGAAAACTGTCAAAAGCCTTTGTCTATAAGACTAAGACCCAGCAACTTTCCACTTCTAGTAACTACTCAAGGAAAACTCTCATGTGTTTGAAAAGACATGTATAAAATACATTATTATAACAATAAGAACTGGAAATCTTAATCCGTGTTCCCTTAATTTACTTGACATTCTTTGGGAGATATCGGAATTGCAATGTACTACTCACCTTCATCTTTTGCCTCTTATTTTTTCTTTCCTCAAGCTTTTGGATTCATTGGGTGCTTATCCAAAAAATTAAAATTGTTAGTAAATCCCCCAATGTACTTAGCACCACCTCTTTCAAAGACAGGCTTTTGGACCTACCTCGGCCTAGAGAAGGAACAAAGTGCAGTGTATTTTGAGACTACAGACAGCCCCACAACTTCCCAGGAACTTCAGATAAATTATTCAAACTCTAAGGGGAATTGGCAAACAGGAGAGATAAAAGGCCCACATAGAAAGTGTGGGAATGGGAAGGGAGAAAGCAGGGGCAGAGACTGAAGGTCAGGGGTTCCAGAAGAGACTATTTTCACAGGCTTTAGGTGTTGATCTGAGGAAGTTAGGGCAGGGGCTGGTAGGAAAGAATGTAACAACCACACATACAAGGGGAGCTAACTGATCGTTCAACAGGACCCTTCTGCTTAGCTCTTGTAAAAGCAGTTACATGCATCGCATGCATTAGCCAACCATCGCCCTGCACTGCTGGGCATTCACTGACTGGAGAGAGCCTACCTACTAAGGATAATAGACAGTGTTTTTCACTTGCCTTTCAACTGCATGTTATGTCAGGAAACAGCACATTTATTATGTGTTTAAAAACTAATCCAAAGAATTACGTATTTGGAAAAATATCTAAAGAAGCAAGTGGGCTAAGTAAATGATATTTCATTTGTTTCTTAATGTCCTACCCTTAAAAAAAAACACTCAAATGGAATACCCTTAGAATGTCTTAGGTATGATGCAAAGCAGCTGTGTATATTGGTGCACAAATGACTTAGAACTTGGTCCTTAAACAAAAAATCTGCAGGGTAGGCCCTACAAGAAACTTCCTGCCATGACTTGACTTAGGCCTGTTTGGCGGTACTCCATAAACCAATTGCCCTGAATTGAAACTGTCAAAAGAAAATAAAATGGGCTAAATTTATTATCACCTGTATTCACAAACATACACACATAGAAGTCCATTGTTAACTAAGGCCCAAACCAAAATGCAGCAGCCTACTCAGACAGCCCCCTGGGAAATACCGTTTAATGATGTGAGAGGTTTTTTTTTTTCTTCTTTTTAACATAGAGAAGGAAAACAACACATGCAGGAAACCATAAAACCCTTCAAGTTAACTGTAGCCAACGGTCAATCTCATTAGGATATAATGGGTAGACGATATCCCTCTCTATAAAGGCTGAGTGCGCTCTGAATAATTTCCAATTTTCTCACTTGCTGGAAGCTCTGCCTTTTAAACAACAAAGCAGAAGTTTCAGGCACTGTATTTATATCATTTCTGTTCTCTGCCTTGGATACTTCTTCCGAACATCAGTCCCTGGGTTCATCTTTTAGTACACAGTTGTTTAACTGGAATATATATACATATTAACTTGGCTAATTACTTAAACTTACTTTTTTTTTTTGAGATGGATTTTTGCTCTTGTTGCCCTGGCTGGAGTGCAATGGTGCAATCTTGGCTCACTGCAACTTCATCTCCCAGGTTCAAGCGATTCTCCTGCCTTAGCCTCCCAGGTAGCAGGGATTAAAGGCATGTGCCACTACACTCAGCTAATTTTTTTGTATTTTTAGTGGAGACGGGATCTCACCATGTTGGTCAGGCTGGTCTCAAACTCCTGACCTCAGGTGATCCACCCGCCTTGGCCTCCCAAGGGACTAGGATTACAGGCATGAGCCACATCCCCGGCCCAAACTTAAAACTTTCAACTAGAACGGTGGAAGGGCATCCTTGAGAAAATGGATAGGGAGTCAGAGGGCTAAGGGAAGTGCAGGGACTGCCAATTTTTGCCAAGGGACCAAGCCTTCGGTAGAAATGGAGAAGGCGAAAGTTCTAGGCTGATTCTAGGGCTCGGGAGATAGAGTTCCAATACCCTTACTGGCACTTCTGACCTTGTGACCTCAGATCAGCCATTGGGCCATTCTCAACTCAATTTCTCCATGCTGAAACAATGAAGGCGTCATAATCCCTTGCCTGCATACTTATCGGGAGAATATGCTAAAATACAGTGAGGGTACTGATTTCCAAACTTCAGTGAGCATTGGGAATCTATGGGGGGGGTGCTCATTAAGGCCCCATCCCCACTGTCTGACTGTGGCTGGCAATCCGTATAATCGCTACTCTTAACAAGAATCTCCAGGTAATTCTGATGCTGGGGATTCGTGTAGCGGACTGAGAAACATTGATTCAGGAGATTTATTTTTAGAATTTTTTTTCCAGATTTATAATTTAATGGCTGTGCAAGTCCCAGTCCCTCATTTCTACCGCTCACGGGCCCACTGCTCTGGGATCAGGGTTTTCTGTTCAAAGGTATTGATGTGCAGAAGCCCTTCTGCTAGGCACGCGTTCACCAGCCGGTGTCTCTGAAGCAGGGACTTGCGCTCGAACTTGGCCGACACCGCCAGGACTCGGAAGCTACAGGCACAACGGCTGCGGGTGGTGGTGTCCTCCACTGCCACATGCTCCGCCGTCAGGTCCCGCTGCAGCTTCTCCATGAAGTATTCGGCGCTGAGTTCCATGGCGATAGTCCAGCTGGAGCAGCAGCCCAGCGGGCACAGAACCCCAGTTCGGACCCCGGCCTCGCTGCTTTGCTCCCTATTTTTAGAATTTAAAGCATCTTCTATGTTGCTGGCACTGTGTTAGGCTTTACATACATTAGCTTTTTAGAACCACCCATAAGGTCAGGTTCTAGCATTCAAGGAGCCCATGGGGTAGGCCAGGCATTATGACATATCACACAAGTTCCGCTTCACTCTGTTCTCAGGACAGCTGTCTACATTAGATAGCCCTCTTTCTGTATGACGATTTAAAACACGGAAACTTAAAGAGGCTGAGAAATCTGTCCCAGGTCCTCCAGCTTGTTGGTTTCAGAGGCAGAATTCTAATTCAGGTTTTCATGCAATCCAGCGCTGGTACTTACCACAGGCAGCATAAAATGCAAATGCATGTTGTAAGTTCTTAGGGCCCCATGGAAACCATGTAAATGTTAAGTCAACAAATAAGAATTTAGCATTTATTATGTGAAAAGAAGGAGCGAAAGCAAACTGGGGAATACGAGAAGTATTCAATGCCTAATTCCTGTCCTTCAAGAATTCCAGTCTATCAGGAAAGAGCAGTTTGGTTATACTGCAATTGGAAGAACTGGAAAGTTGGGCTAAAACCCTTTATGCGGGGCCTTGAAGAGCAGCCTGTGAATTCTGTGCTTTATCCTGGGCAAAGGGGAATGGCCATAGACACTTGGCAGAGCCTGAAACACCACGCAGATGCCTGGCGATGCTTTCTTCCCACCCCTCCACTTTAGCTTTCAAATGATAGTGAAAATGCGTATGGAGATATCTCTCTCCAGAAAGAGAGGGTTAGGGGTAAACCCTAGTGAATATGGGTTAGAGAGGTATTTTGTAGGCCTTAATAGGAGGGGTGCCAGGAGAAGGCACAAAACAAAAACCACCAGAAAGAGAAATAAAGCATACCAACCTTACACTCTGAGAAATCCAAATGGATAGATGGGTTTGTATTCTTAAAAAAAAAAAAAATTTTTTTTTAACATTTCTATCTTTTCAAATACTTCCTCGGGATCCCTAAATTTGTTTTAAATTCATAATTAAGCATTCTGATCCATAGCATTCTCCAGACCATGTCTTCTAATTTATGTGTACCCTACAAACACAGGAAACCCTTGGTAAATGTTGATGTCCATTTAATCCTTTGCTTTCTTGCTTTCCTCAGAATCCCTTAGCTCCCCTAGTACCCCAAGAGCAGGGTAAAAACAAACCCCAAAAGCCTTTCCAGGAGCTGGGCCCACCCTCTGAGCTTACATGCTTTTTTTTTTTTTTTCTTGGCACTTAAAGGGATTCAACTAGGAATTAACAAAACTTGCTTAAGCAAGTATCATGGATTCACATTTCTGATGGAGCACAGGGCCAGAAGCAATTGCTTGATATTCGTAAAAGAAAATCTGAAACTTACTCTTTTCTATTGATCCCAATTATCTGAAAGTAAAAAAATCATACTAAATCAAAACTGTTTGGTTTCATATGTTTATTATGCCTTCTACCACCTAATACGTAAGTTTCCCTTATGAATGAAAACAGACTCAGAGGAAAAGACATTGTACAAAAATGCTTCTTACGTTTACTTTACCACCTGCCAGGAAGGACACACACATTTCAGCTTTTATTTTTAAGCCAATGTTATCAAAATTCTTAAAGGAAATATTTAAAGCATCTGCTTTTACATGGAGAGTCAAGGAAAAATAAGTTCTAACAGGAGAATCCTCCGAAATAAAAATATACTTTAAAAGAGATGCATCATTTTAAAAACGCATCATTTAGGTTGCATTTATGTCATGCTATTGATATCTTGGATCTGAAAAAAGCTAAACAATTATATTATCACTGCAATGAACACAAATTGAAAGCACTTTTCTAAAGAAGGGTTTTTCCTTTTGCAAAGATCTTTGAAGAAACTTAGATGCCATGTTGTTCTAAGGTCATTTTAAAAAATGGAATTCCAATTGCAGAACACAAATGCAATTAAAACTAAATATATGAGCACCATACATGAAAAAAATGTTGAAAACTAGTAGCTATCTTTAAGAGATAAATTAAATGGAAACACAAGTTATATTGGTTTTTGGGGATGGATCATTGCTTTCCATTGGACAACCACAAAACCCCCTCCTTTTAGACCAGTCCTCAAAGTTCTCTTTTTCCAGGTGTACCTTCCAGCATAATACTCCCTAATCTACAAGTAATCCAAATGAGTAAGGGATTATTTCCAAACACTTCTGCTTATTAACCCCTCCTCTCCAGTGCTGAAAAACTCAAGACATGTAAAAGACACATTTTTAACACACATTTGGAAGTAAAGATGGCTTTTGTTAGTTAATAGCAATTGTTAACTCTCAAAATAAACAGGAAATAGTGCCACTTAGCAAGTTGCATGTTCCAAACCCAAGAGTATTAGGCCTTAAGAAATCCAAGAACTTTTTCTCTTTGCAGTCTAAACAATCCTGCCTGATTCTTAGAAAAAGCACAAATCTCCAGCAGCCAAAGTGCTATTTTGAGAGACAGGGGGCTTTCCTCTGAGCCCATATGGAGCCAGCTTCTCCAGGTCATCTTTATTGATGCAGTTCTCTTACATTAACACCATGTTGGGCATGGCAAAAAATGGAGATCGTAGCACCACATCAACCTTTCTGCTTGAGAAAAAAAAAAATTGCATACACCTTTAGCATTTCATAATGGGTAAAAGTCTAATCCTGTATAATCTACTGATAATTTAACAGCTTATTTGTCCTTAACCCTTGGAAACCAATTATAGCCACTGCTAGAGGTAAGCATGGGCATATCAAGGAGAAAGCAGCTCCAGGAGCACCAAGTTCAAAAAAAGATCAGCTAGCCAGTTTCATCTGTGAAGAATTCTGTCCACGTTGCCCCTCCCCCTCTTTTTCAGATTCCAAGACAAAAGGCATTTTTAAATATGGTAAACTCAGAAAATTCCTAGAAAGCATGTGTTGAGTTGACACATATTCAGCTGATGCCATCATTTCAGGGTCAGGAGAAATCTGGCCAAGAGACATTTAATATTCCTCAATAAGGTAGCATTTGACAAGACTCCTCTGATAACTTATTTTTTTTAAAGCTAAGGCAGATTGTGTAGTGTCTAGATACCGTAGGGCTTTTCCCATCCCAGGCACTGGGCATAATAACGACAAAAGTCAAGATTTAGGGTTCAGTTCCAGCTGATTTTATTTCCTTCTCAAAAAAAGTTATGTACAGAAGGTATATATCAACAATCTGACAGGCAGTGAACTTGACATGATTAGCTGGCATGATTTTTTCTTTTTTTCCCCCAAACATTGTTTTTGTGGCCTTGAATTTTAAGACAAATATTCTACACGGCATATTGCACAGGATGGATGGCAAAAAAAAGTTTAAAAACAAAAACCCTTAACGGAACTGCCTTAAAAAGGCAGACGTCCTAGTGCCTGTCATGTTATATTAAACATACATACACACAATCTTTTTGCTTATTATAATACAGACTTAAATGTACAAAGATGTTTTCCACTTTTTTCAATTTTTAAACACAACAGCTATAAACCTGAACACATATGCTATCATCATGCCATAAGACTAAAACAATTATATTTAGCGACAAGTAGAAAGGATTAAATAGTCAAATACAAGAATGAAAAACGCAGTACATAGTGTCGCGAACTCAAATCGGCATTTAGATAGATCCAGTGGTTTAAACGGCACGTTTTTGCTTATAAAAAAAGTGCAAAAAAGATGTGGTTTACGAGTTAAAGCTACAGAATCCCTTTTTGCTGTAAATGCACCAGTTTTAAAGCCTCTGGACAGAGCAGTATTTCTTTTAAAACTTTGTTTTTCTTAAAAGCTTACAGTGTTTGGCTAATTCTCCTCCCCTTTTTACAAGACAGGGATCGGAGGGTGGACACTGGTGGCAGGTTAAGGGATACTGTCACTTTAAGAAGCCTGCAGATTGAAGTGTAAACATGGAGAAATTAGGGGCTGATTTTTTAAACTGTGTGAGATATTAACCAGCCGCCCTGTTATAAAATCAGGAAATCCAAACAGCGATTTACACCGATTAACACCCCCTTTATATATTTTTTACAAAAATACACTGAGAAAATAATCAAACGTTTTCATCTCTCTTGTCTTTTTTTTGTTTTTTAAAAGTGTCAAAAGTCTACATTTAAATATAAAAAATTAAAAGTTAAAACTCTAGCCCTTCAGTGAAGGAGACGTAAAATGGCGTGGGTAACAACAACTACCAAAAAAAAAAAAAAAAAAAAAAAAAAAAAAAGAAAGAAAGAAAACAAGGAAAAAAAAAGGAAGGAATAAAGAAATAAAGTAAAAAGAAAGGAAAGAAAAAAAGGGACAAAAGCAAAAAAATGTTTGGCCAGTATAAATACGTCCACATATAAAATGGCATCTGATTACATTTACAAGGAAAAAGAAATACGAGGATGGAGCATCGGTGAAGGAAAAAAACACGTCTTCTCATTTACACCTATAAGGAATAAACACACACACTGAGAAAAAATTTGGTCCTGAATTGTTTTTTTAAAGTCCAGCACAGATTTGAGTTGCGTTTGAATCCTTTAGAGAGTTAAGAATGAAAAAAAGCTGGTGATAATTTCGTTGTAGGAATCAAACATAGCGCCATCTATCTGCTTTTTATATTATCCTACACTATTTTAAAAACTGCTCAACAGTCTTATACAGAAATCTTTAAAAGATAGACAGGATAACATGCTATATTAACCCCACCATTGAAATAATCCAACACCATCACGATTCCGATTAAGAGAAGAAAAAAACCTTTTTTTTTTCTTTTTTTCTTTTTTTTTTTTTTCCGAAACCACTCGCTTTCCACTGACTGCCCCTGTACCACATCAAACAGTCTCCTCTCCTCCACGCCTCCGGGGTCTGGGAAGTCTCACCTCACTGATTTCACGTAGAAGGAAGGCGCAGGACCAGCAGCCGCCGCCGCCTGCTCCCCAACGCGCAAATCCATTTCAGTTTGACCGTGAACCCCCTTCCAGTTCGTGTCCTTCTCCGCCCCCGCCCCTAGCTCCCGCTGCTGCGCTTCCAACGGGGTTCTCGGGTCATTTCCTAGCGCCGGTCACTCTGGCTGGCCTCCTCCCCTCAACATCTCCTCCTCTGGCTGCAGACGGGGCAGGGGGAAAAGGGAGAGAGAGAGAAAAAAAAAAGCCCCAAACGGGAATTCGCCTGCGTGGAGTCTCTCAGTCCCGGCGCTCCCCCAAAACATCTGCCATCGGCCAAATTCGTCACCCCGGAACCTTCTGTCTTCATCAGGCGTTTAAAAAAGGGGGAGGGGAGGGGAGCGCTGGGTTATCCCCTCCTTTCTTGACCAAGAAGTAAAATAAAACAAAACCAAGGTGGTGATGCAGGAACGGGGAGATTCCTTCAGTCTCTAGAAAACTAACTCGGTTTCTTGCTGGGGGTGCAGACAAGTCCGGAAGCTCTTTGGAAAGGGAGGGGGGTCTCTTCAAGCAAAGGGGAGGAAACTCGAAGTCGCTTTTTTTTTTTTTTTGCCATCAACAACAACATCAATAACAACAATAACAGGTCGCCCCTGTCTACCCTCTGCCTCCTCCGCGTCCCTCCGGCTGGGCATAGTGGGTCCCCGGCCCGGGAAGGTGGGGGATGGGAGCGCGGGTCCAAAACGCCGCCGCGCTTTCCGACGACGGGAATGCGGTCGAAGCCAGCCCTGCTCATTTTTTTTTCTTTTTTCCCTTTTCTCTTTCAACTCTTCGTCTGTCCTTTTCGTTTCATTTTTTATTTTTATTTTTTCTCCTCTCCTACCCCCGGCGCTCCCCACTGCCTGCGCGCCCTTCAGTAGGTGAAAACCAGGTTGGAGATGCTGGACTCGAGCCAGTCTCCCGAGATCATCTCGCTCACCTCGGGCGTGCAGTAGTCCGGGAACTCGAAGTGCGAGCCGGAGCCGGGCTCGAAGTTAAAATCCAGGTCCCGGTCGAGCGCCGACGACGAGCTGAAGCTGCCCAGGGACATGCTCTCAAAGTTTGAGCTGGGGTTCAGGTCGAGCAGGTCGTCTTCGAACTCGTCGTCGGAAGACGAGGAGCCCGAGGAGGAGGAAGAGGAGGAGTGGGACGAGGCCGAGGAGGACGCGTGCGAGGGCGCGCTGGACGGGGCGGGCGAGGCGGCGCGCAGGCTGGCGTAGCCGCGGTGGTCGGCGGGCGAGCGGCCGGCGGCGGGGGACGAGGCGGCGCTGCTGCGGCCGCTCAGGCTCGGCGCGTCGGGCGAGCAGCCCGCGCCCTCCTCCTCGTACAAGCCCAGGGGGTCGCTGGGGTCGGCTCCCGCGCCCACGCCGCCCACGGGCGACGACGACGTGCCCAGGCCGCCGAACAGGTAGACGCGCTTCACCTTCTTCTCCGCCAGGTGCTTGCCCGGGGCTGCAAGCGCTGCGGAAGCAGAGGCCGCCGAGGAGGCGGAGGCCGAGGCGCTGGGAGTCCGCGCCTTGTACAGCGAGTGGTGGTCGGCGGCGGCGCCCAGGGGCAGCAGGGCGGCGGCCCCCGCCTGTTCGGCGGCGAAGGAGGAGGCGGCGGCGGCAGCCGCTGCTTTCCCGCCGCCGCCGCCGCCTGCCAGGATGAGCTTGGCGTGCGGTTTGCTGACCCCGCCGCCCGCGCCGCCCGCCACTTTGGAGCCGCAGCTCTTTTTCTGCGCCGGTTTGGAGTTGGCGCCGCCGCCACTCGCACCGCCGCCTCCTCCCCCCGCGTTGCTGCTCCCGCCGCCGCCGCCGCCCCCATGGCCGCCCCCGCCGCTGCCACCGACCTTGTCTCCCTTCTCCCCTGGCTTGGAGGAGGCGGCGGCCGAGGAGCTGGAGTTAGCGTTGCCGGATTTCACCTTCTTCCTGGGCCGGTACTTGTAGTCGGGGTAGTCAGCCATGTGCTTGAGGCGCAGCCGCTCCGCCTCTCGAATGAAAGGGATCTTGTCGCTGTCTTTGAGCAGCTTCCAGCGTTTGCCCAGCCGCTTGGAGATCTCGGCGTTGTGCATGTCGGGCGACTGCTCCATGATCTTGCGCCGCTCGATCTGCGACCACACCATGAAGGCGTTCATGGGCCGCTTGATGTGCCCACTCGGGGTCTTGCACCAGCTCGGGTCGTCGGCCTTACCGCCCGTGGAGGCGGTGGAGCCGGGCGTGGGGGAGGAGGCGATGCCCAGCTCGAGGCCGGCGCCGGAGTCCGAGCTCTCGCCAGCCAGTAACGCTTCCGTGTTCTCGGCATTGTTGGTTTGCTGCACCATGGCCCCGGCTTGGCGGGCGCCCACGCGCGCTCACACCCTCGCGGCGGCCGCGGCGCGATCGCCGGGCCCTCCCGGCTTCCCGGGCCGAGCACACGCCGAACGGGAAGACGCGCGCGGCGGCCGAACTGGCCCCTCAACTCCTCGCAGGGGCGGAGGTGGGCGAAGAGAGAAAAGTCCCCAAAAGATGCGGGGAAGGAGTTCTCCGCCTCTCGCAGAGGAGTTATAGTTCCCAGTCTGGAGAGTCTCTCCCTCTCTCTCGCTCTCTCACCGCGCTGCAGTTTGCTGTCTCTCGGCTGAGTCTGGAGACCGTGCTAAAGTAGAGAGGAGTTTCTCGAATGCTGGTTGCTGAAGCTTCCAATACAAGTTTCTCGCGGCCTCCCAGGCAAGTCTTTTTTTTTTTTTTTTTTTTTCTTTTTCCCTGAAGCAGTTGATTCCAGTTCACGAGCGCTCTCGGTAGCTCAGGAAAGCGACATAGTCTCTAGCACTTAGTCCCTCTCCTACAATGCAAAGCAAAAAAGACTCTGGCTCCAGGACTGTCTGTGGGCGGAATCGGCACTAAGGAGTTTGTGCAATTATTTTGTTGCAAGGTAGGAAGCCAAAAAGCCTGCATGCAACAGACTGGCATGAATAAATGTATGTTTCTCCCTCCCTTCTGCAAGAAGGGAGCTGGTAATGGCAAGAATTCCTCCAGTGCAGACTCTTAAAGAGCGTGCAAGAACTAGAGACCCGACAGCTAAACAGGCCTCTTCCCCTCACACACAGTTTCTCCTGCTGCAGCTTAGAGCAGACCCCAATTCCGCCTCGCGCCTCTTTATCCTTTCACAGTCTTGGCTGCAGCCAATCAGCTGCTGTAACCAACGCTTCCTCATGCCAAACCCCTCCCCCGGGCTTCCCATTGGCTTGGAACCCGATGCAATAATAATCTCCGCGTGCAATGAGAAGCTCCAAATCTGACCTCATTCCAATTTACAGAGCAAACTTTTTAAAAGGGCTAGAAGTACAGCTGAGATTTCTGCTGCCTCTTTTTTCCTTTTGCTGTGTGTGTGTATGCGCGCGCGTGTGTGTGCGGGCGTGCGTGTGTGTACAGTGTGTGAAGAGGATGTTAATGCATGAAATTATTAAAGGGAGAGACGGAAATGTATTCTAACCATTATGTTAGATAACAAGGGGCTTGGAAGGGGGCGGGGTAAGGGTGAAATACTGTAAATGGAAGCTTTCTGCTTAAAAGCCAAGTGATTATTTTTATTACTTCTTTTCAGCATTGGAATAAAGAATCAGCCTCTCGTGCAAAATCTGTTCCCCAGCTCTTTCTTAAAGCCAAAGCTGTAAAGGGGAAGAGAAAGCCACAACAATAAATCAATGGATATTGAAAACCATTAAGAAAGTGGTACCTAGACACCTGTCATCACAATTATTTTAACAACTCTAGGTACAGCACAGATGTTGATGTATTGTGTAAATCCCTTCAGAACCATTTTTGTGCTGTTTGTGGAAGGCAGGGAAGACCTCTTTGCAATAATTGCTTACTCTCTTAACCAAATAGGGGTCAACTATGGTTATTTAATGATTTAAACTCCCTGTAAATCCTGCATAACCCAAACAGAGGAGCTTTCCGTGAAACACATTAGGTAGTGCTCCATAATTACCTCAATGGGCAAATTTCCAGAGTTTTGTATAGGATGTATAATCGTATGTAAAGGATGGAAATCGGTTTTACTTTCTAAATATTTGTTTTCCCTGTTTTCAGAATTAAAGATTGCTTCACTCTCTTCCCTCTCCTCCTCCCAAAGCCATCTCCCTCCTTTCCTTCTTATATATTTCCTCTTGTTATTTGTTACTTGAATCGAAGGGAACTGAAAAACCAAGGCAAAGAGAAACTGTAGAAGGAGGTGATAAGTGGTAGCAGAAGAGAGTAGGGCCTCCGGATTCATAGTACACCTGGCTGCTAATCCTTCTTACTGGTTTGTAACTATGGGGATGTGGCGAAGTCTCAGTTTTCCTCATCTATTATATGGAGGAGCTACTTCATAGAGGGTTGTTGTGAGGGGTCAAAGAATTTGTGACTATGAAGCACCTGCTCTATTGTAAGCCCTCAATGAATACTAATACCTTCCTTTCTAATTCAAATACCAGACATGCTCCTAGTAAAAGCTGCATGTTGTTCAAGAGACTAACACAGAATAACCACTGATGTAAAAAAGTAATAACAGGCCAGGCGCGGTGGCTCACGCCTGTAATTCCAGCACTTTGGGAGGCTAAGGTGGGTGGATCACTTGAAGTCAGGAGTTTGAGACCAGCCTGGTCAACGTGGTGAAACCCTGTCTCTACTAAAAATAAAAAAATAAAAAAATTAGCTGGGCCGGGATGCTTGTGCCTGTAATTCCAGTTGCTTGAGAGGCTGAGGTGGGAGAATTGCTTGAACCCAGGAGGTTGCAGTGAGCTAAGATTGAGCCACTGCACTCCAGTGGGTGATAGAGTGTGACTCTGTCTCAAATAATAAATAATAATAATAATAACAACAACAGATCATTGATGTGAACCATACAAGGACAATAGTGGCAACCCTGCCATTCCATTGATTTTAAAAGAAAGGAACTCCATGAAGAATACTAAGAAGAATGTGGCAAAGAAAGGATGCCAAGGTATTCAAAATAAATGTTGGCCACAGAAATTACTTGTTTTCCAACGTCTGAAAATTAGAATTGTAGTAAAAATCAGCTTTCCTTAACACTATAATAGGAAACTAATATTCTTCAGGCCAACCATAAGTGGTTAGGTAAGATCAATCCAAAATAATTAAGTCAGCTTTTGATTCAGAGTAAACTAGTGCTGGGTAGTAAATTTCTATTTGTCTTGTCAAACTTATAAAGTATGTAGGCTGGCAATAGGCCCAGGTTGTCAGACTTAGAATTTTACTGGAAAGAACACCCTATGTAGCCATCTGACTGGCTCTGTAAGGATCAACCACAAGCAAAACTGTTTTTGTGGGTAAAAGCAAATAATTTTTGACCATTAGCTACTTGTATTATATACTTTTTTTTTTTTTTAAATGAGAAACAAATCCTTAAAAAAAGAAAAACCCAAACCAAAAACACACAGGCACCTTTTCTGCGTAACAGTGTTGCTGTGTTATAAACTTCATTTTATCTGGTGTGCATAGAAACACATCCTTAAATGTAACCAATCTGACAAAAAAAAATTATTTTAAGAGGGCTATTATCTATAAGATCAATGTTTTCACTAGGATAAACAAGAATATATTTATTTTTGGATTTGTACTAACTAATGACTTGAGGGTGTAGCTAGTTTGATAATTCAGTCAAGTTGAGTATCAGTATTATTGATTCTATTTCTAAGTCATTTATGCTTCCATCATCAAATATGATGGGGAAGAGTGGAAATTAAAGCAGTCATATATTTCTGCTTAAAACACACGGATTTTTTAAAGGGTGTACTAAAACATAGCCACTGGCCTCATTCTTTTGTTACATGTATTTCAACAAATCCAACAAATTTTAAGACACACCATTACATTCCACCAAGGAAGAAGAACTGCCAATGAAACTGTGATATCCCCCTAGATGTAGGATGTCTCCTTATTTCAGAAGCGTTGAAATGAAAAGAAAAATTTTGTCTCAGACTTGATGAAATATGGTATCAGTAACTTCCATTGACTTTATAAGATGATTACTGTATATATATTTATATATTACAGAAGTGCTTAGACTTCTGAAATAGATCTGTTCTAGTGAGTTAGTTCTCTTACAATGTAAGAAAACATATGACAAATGCCCTTTTATTAAAGTCACCTTTATGACCAAGTAAGTGTGTGCACACTGGAATGTATTGGACCTCTCAGTACCAAATAATGAGAAAAGATTTCTCCCTTCTAATTCCCTAACTTCATATGCTCTGTAATCAGTTCTCCATTACTGACATTTTGTTCCCAAAATACCAGATATTTGGTGGCCCCTACTAAATCAGTACTCAGTGTTCCCTCTGCTGGCTTTGCAGTACATGAAGTAATTCTTAATGCTACTCTTTTAGCTCTATGAAGAGAAAGCCAAGATTATTTTGCAGAAAAAAAAAGTCCTGGTTTAGAATAATAGACTGTCTTTATTAGCAATGATGTTAGACATTTCAAATTTTGAATTAGGTATTTTATTCCCTTAAATGATGGAATTCCATTTGAGATGTAAGTGTAATATCTGCTAATGCATTTCTTCTGCTCTCACACATCTACACAACAGAAAATCTCACATCCATACAATTATGAGGCATAGATGACATAAGATTCTATTCCACTGCTTAATATATTCCTTTGGCATGGAGGGAGGGACCTGAATGGAAATTAGTTTAACAAATCTGGATTTGCACTGATTTGCAAGATTTTGCCTTGCCTTGGTTACAGAAACTATGACTGTAGGAGCTAGTCAGACCTGACAAGTATTCAGTTCAAATAAAATAAAGAGGAGGAAAAACTGTATAGTTGTTACTTTACCTGACAAGGAAGAAGCCCTGGGAAATCTGATGCATTGGCCTTTGTCAACTGAAAGGTGCCAGTATTTTTGGTTCCACACTTTATGGAAAAGAAGCCTCCATATGAGACTGATTTACTTCTCAGTCAAATACACAAGCATAACTTGCACTTCATCCTTTTGGGTTGATGACATTGCATTGTAACTGGGCTCAGCACGGAATGGGGGTGAGGGGGTGGTGGTGCGTGCATTGAAAAATAATATATGGAAATAACTTATATTTGCAAAATATCAAAATAGGATTCTGGGGTAAATGAAACCTAGGATTTATTTTTACCGCTAGAATAAGCTAAGAGTTAAGAAACCTGCATTTCTAACAATTTTACTATTTTCCTCTCATAACCAGTGACGAGCACACAGCTTAAGCTGTTCATGCCAATGCCAACTCATTATTCCTTTCCTCTCCATTTTCTCATTAAAACAAGCAGAAGACGAATGTTTGCAGAGCCACGTAGATTGCAAGCATGAACACAGGCTTCTGCTTCACTTCCAGAGGCAGAAGCATGGCACCCGGGAAGAGCCTGTCTGCAGCCAGCCGGCTCCTCATCTGGGGAGAAGCAGCCGCCAGGTGGCATCGCTGAGCCTCCCTGCACCCGCGAGGCGAGGTGGGAAATCGTGGGGATAGTCAGTTTTCTTTCTTCTCCCCCTTCCTCCTCTCCCGAACCCCTACCACTCCCTACCACTGTACCTTCTTTAGTTAGAGGCTTAAATGCTCAACGAGTAATAGGGTATGTCGATGAATTGTGATCTTTTTGTTCATAAATCAAAGTTGAGGGCAACCACCCGCTGCCTCCTGCTCACTTATCAGGAGCTCCTGGTGACCGGGGAAGCCTAGACCAGCCTCCTGTCTGGATCAGGTAACCCAACTCGAGGGGATTATCAATTTCCGTTTCCCTGTCTTCTTGCTAAAGTGAATGCAGTTTCTCCGGCTTCGGAGAGCGGCTGCAGAGAAACGGCGTGCCTTACTTAAGGACGCCAGTGCAAAGGCCACCCCCTACTCAAAAAAAAAAAAAAAAAGAAAAGAAAAAAGAGGTTTCCTTCAGGCAGAACGCCTTTCGGAGAGCAGCGACTCCGTCTCGCAGGCACGGCGCTCTCCCTGGCTTAAGCTCGCCGAGGATTAATGGTGCTCAGCCTCGCTCCGCCGCAGCGGCCGAGCCTCTCCTTTCGCTTACAGTTAGAGGGAGGACATAGATTGGAATCGACTCAGACTGTGCTTTCTGGAGGAAAGTCCTTCCTACTGTAAACATGTTTCAGGCGATCCTGTCAGCAGCATTTTAACACCCGTCTTCCGTTTAGGTTTTACGACCGGGGAAGGAGCTGAAGACGCGCGCGCGCGCGCGCACACACACACACAAATGCGCGCGCACACGCAACCTAAGCGAGGACATCTCCCGCACCCTCGCGGGCTCCCAGTCCTTTGAATTTGCAACCGGTCGTGGATAGTCGAGGGGGTGGGGGTCGTTTCCTGGGCGCTTGGCTCCTCCGTCCTCCTACCACCATCCCCTGGCCCTTGGAGATGCTATCCAGTTCCATCAGTGACCAGAACTGACAGCCACTTGGCCCCTGCTCTCTCGAGTGCCCAGCATCCTTTGCTCTGGACGACCAAATGCTCTCTGTGAGCCTTGCTTGGATGGTACGGTGCGCGCTGTGCGTGTGGGACTCACTCTTCGGCAGGCACACGACCTTCGTACACCGTTTGGGCAACCATCCACTTCATCCCCTCCCTGGACCCCGCAGGCTGAGGCCCAATTAAGAGCGCGGCTGCCTGGTCTCTTTCAGGAGGGCAGAGCAGGCTGTGCGTGCACGGCGCGCAGGGGGAGGAAAAGGGCTGAGAGCTGAGGGAAGTAGACAATTGGTTGCACCCCAGTCTTCAAGCGTCCCTACTCCGCGGATCACGGAGGGGCAGGCGTGCCTTGGCGCCTTCCCTCAATCCCTCGGTCGTGCAGGAAAGACTGGACGGCGGGGGCTCTCTGAGTCTGCGAGGGCCATGGAGGCGCCCCAGGGTGCCAGGCGCCCTTGTCAAGGGGCGCGCCCGACGCTCCAGATTCGGTCCCCAGCACCTGTGGGAGGCGGTTTCGGGTCTGAGAGAAGGGAACATATGGCAGGGAGTTAACAGGGAGAGGCTGCGCCCTGGGCGCAGTAACGAGGAAGCCAGGCTCTGCGGAAGGTCTCGGCTCGCTTTGTCCTCCTTGGATCAGCTGGTCTCTGCCTTTCCCCTGGCAGCTG